GTGTTTTGACCCATAGCCTCACTAGTCCCAAATTTGTCTGGGGCATGCCTGTGCCCTTGGGAGTCTATTTAACACAGAAACACTTCCTAAAGGTGAGTAAGATGCCTCCTGTTCTACAAGACTTACATTTTATTGGGGGAATTTGGTTTGTACACACACACACAGACACACACACACACACACACACACACGTGTCCTAACCTTTCTGGGATCATCCAGTAACACAGTTATTGGCTAAGGTGAACCTGGTACACTTACTTTATTATTTTTATTAACTACAAAGCTAAAATAGACATTCGCCTTGTAAAAGGTTAGAAGTCAATATGTAGAATGAGAAGTGAGTGTTTATCTTTGGTCTGTTCCACAGTTCCCAGGATGGAGGGACCCCTGTGTTCATGTCACCTTTTTTGTGAAAGTCCTCACCTACCTTTTAACATGCAGGAACTGAAAGGCAGGTGGTGAGCGGTTCCTAGAGTTAGGAGAATTGCTTGCCATGTTTTCCATAGTTGGCAGTCACCTAGCATTAATTGTGATTGTGTTTTTCTGTGGGGAGTTATGGCATTTTACCGAAATCTCCAGATTGTAAGACTACCAAGGCCAAGAGTTTAAGGAAGATACCTTTAACAGCATTTTAAAGGAGAAAGTAATAAGAGATACTGTTAGGTTGGCTTTACAGAAAGTCATTGCTTAAGAGTGACATTAATAACCACAAGATGGCACACAGTTTCTATTGAATTTTTAAAATTTTTAAAATTTTTTTATTTTTTAAAGATTCTATTTATTTTTTGCCAGAGAGAGAGAGCGAGAGAGGGAACACAAGCAGGGGGAGCTGCAGAGGGAGAAGGAGAAGCAGGCTTCCCGCTGAGCAGGGAGCCTGACATGGGGCTCGATCCCAAGAGCCTGGGATCATGACCTGAGCCGAAGGCAGGAGCTTAAGGACTGAGCCACCCACCTCATTTTCTATTTTAAAAAAAGTTAGGGTAAATGGGACCGAGGATTCCTTTTCTCCTTTATCTGCATGTTGCAAGTTCTAGTTATAGCTACATCTGGAGTTTATCCTTGGTGTGCTATAAATCTAGAGGCACCTGTATCACATTTAAATGGAGGAACTGATCTGGGAATTCCATTTGTTAAACCATATTAACTTTATGGAGAGAAATGGCTCAGCTGGTTTCCTAAACATTTAGGATGTAATGTTAGACGGAGGGTGTTCACAAGTATTCTGTAATGTGCAAAACCAAACACAGGGCCTCTTACTGCCCATCTTTATGGTATTTCTTTAGCACAGCATCAGCGTGTTATTTTTTATTCTCAAAACACAACATTCAAAACAAAATTTCTACAATTGCTCATAAATTAGCCACTGTGAAGTACTAAATTCTATAGAAAAATATGTACCTCAAGGTTTGATTTTATCGAGTTTTTTCATTCTAGTTCATTGATTCTAGATTACGTAATTTTGCTAATCTAGTTATCTACATTACTAATGTTTGTGTGGGTTTAGAATGTCAATAAAAAAAACCACTAATAGTTGTTCCCCACCGTTTTACTGTATTATTCCATAAAAGGAATTTGGCACTTTTAAAATGAGCTCATCTGCCCTATTTGAGTCGTGAAACCCTTTCTATTGGTTTCAGAGCTCTAGACTAATAATCCAAGTGCAGCTATAACATGGCCTAGAAGTCACATGTCTTAAGTGACAAGTCTCTGAAGTTTCTTCCTTTCAATTCAGACAACCCTCTGGCCTTAATCTGAGAATGGTGTCTACTTTGTCAGGATAGGATTCTCCATACTTTATAAAATACCTTCTGGATGAGAAGGGGGTG